GTCTTTAATAAATCATCAATGTAAAGTAGTAATTAAGTGTCTATCTTGGTTATTGCATTTAGTTTTCTATAATCTATGTACAGTTACAGTTTACTATTTTTCCTGGATACTATAATTATAGAAGAAGTCCGGAACTCTTAACTAGGCTAATTAATTTATTGTCTAATAATTTTTTTATTTCTAGATCTAGGAAGTTTAGCTTATTAGAGGTAATCCTATAAGCTGGTTACTTAATAGGTTTTTTTATTACCAGTTTCAATTTTATGTTGTACTTTAATAGTTTGACCTAGTTGTTCTAGATCAGTAGCAAACAAATTGCTAAACTGCTTTAATAAGTAGCAACTTTCTCTTTTTAGTCTTTATTTAATCTTTCTATTAAAACTAACATCTTTATACTTTTTTCAGATTTCTCATTTAGTTTGAGAATTAGGATTTTTATAATTGTAGTTAAGTATATAGTAAAGTTACATATCTTTTTATCAGAGTTTGGTTTTAATTCTTTAGTTATAAAGTTATTGTGCAATAACTTTTTATCTTATCAATTTTTTATTCTTTAACTTTGTTGAAAAAATTATTTTTTTTATTATTGATTTCAAAAGATACTTCAGATTGTTTTTTTTATTTGGTATATAAAAATCTTTATATATTTGTCTAACTATTAAAGATGAAGGTTTTTTTATTAAAATAAAGGTAAGCATGAATTTTTTAAAACTAATTCTTGTCTAGTAATATCATTTTATTATAGTTTTTAGTAACCTAAATGTTCATAAGTATTATCATATTTACTATATATAATCTTAATCTTAATAGTTTACTAACACTTTTTCTTTTGTGCTATTAGTAGTAATAACTACTGTATTAAAGGATTCTTTGATAATGAGATCTAATTTATCAGTCAGTTTTTTGACATAATACTGACAGTGGTTTTAGAATCTAATATTGTCAAAATTGAACTGTTTTGAATTCTAATATAACATTTTGTTATTATGATTCTATAATTAGTTTAGTTTTTAGCAACACAAATATTTTCTGCTATTATAATTAAATATTTTTTAATGCATCAGCAAAATTATATTATTGTTTAGAAATTTGAAGTATTTAGGCATAAATAGCATTAGTTTTTTAATTTAAAAGATCATTATAATGTTATATTAAGAAGCCAAATTAACTTTAAAAAGTTTTTGTCACCATCTGTATAAATTAATTATGTTTTACAATAGCATAATTATCATTGAGATTGTTTTTAAACAATGTTCTTAATTAAGATAGGATGAAGTTACTAGTTTATTTGATTTGGCTCTTATGTAATTCTTTTTTTTAACTACTCATCACAATTGACTTCTATTTTAGAATGTTGTTTAATATTTTATAATTTGCTTTAGAAATAAAAATGTTACATAGATTGATATTCCTTTAGTGAAGCTTATTTTTATTTATGTTTCTAGGTCTTTTAAAATTTTAGCATTATTCTGAAAAACAGTTTTTAGTAATATAATCTCTTTTATCACAATTATAATAAGTGATATTTCTACTTGAAACTTGTTAGATTGGCTTATTTGAATTAGATAAGAATTGATTTTAACTTGAGTTATCAAAGTAATAATTAATTTTTTATAGTGTGTAACTATTTACTATATTTTTTAAACCAATGCATTAATTAACTTATTCATAAATTCTTGTCCTTTTTCTTAGTTTTATAAATTTGCTAGTTTTTATTTTTTTTGTATTAGCAATAATTTATTAAGTAAATTCAAGTTAGCAATAGATATAAATGTAGCAGTTTTAACTTTTAAACCTTCTATAAAATTTTTACCATATATATAAATAGTAAATTACTTTCTAGATTAACTCTTTTTAGTAAATTTTTAAACATATAGTGTATAGGTCAACATTCTTATTTTTTAACTATATTAAGAAGTTTAGATTTATTTGTTACTTATATTACCTTTTTAGAATAATTAAATACTTAACAAATTTAAAAACAAAACTGGTTTCAAGTCTAGTATCTTTGTCTTAATAGTAAATACTATTCTTATAATTATTATATCAGTTGGCAGCAATCTTTAAAAGATAATAACTATTTTTTAAGATAAGACTAATTATAACATTTGCAACTTTTTCAAATACATTAATCTATCCAACAAAAATTTTTTTAACAATATAGTTAGTTTTATATCTATAGTGTTAATTTTTTATCTCATTAATCTATATTATTTTTGTAATAACATCTTGAAATGTTTTAATTATATTCTTTAAAATATCTTAAATAGTTTACTAATAATGTTAAAGTTGATTTATACTAGTAAGATTCTGTTTATTAAAATTAAGTAAGTACTAAAAGGTTTCTAATAAATTACTAAAGATATTTATCAGTTTTTTCAAGATAAATGCTATATTTTAACTTTTTTTTCTGTTATGAAATATGATGTTTAAATGCTTTGTTAGCTAGTATAAGTATGTAAATTATTTTAATTTAATTACACAGTTATTACTAAATAAAAAAATATAAATCATATCAGAAAACTTGTAGAATTAATACTAGACAGCTTACTATACTACTATAAATATAACACTATTTTTATACCAATCTAAATTCTAATAATAATAGGATTTAATTAAGATATAAAAAGAGTTGGTCTGAGTATCTAGAATTGTAGGTTGTATAATAGTATTGATAATTTTAGATAAGTATTTTTCCTTATCCTTTGTCTTATATTTAGAGCACTAGTCTATTATTAACTATAGTTATTTCTTTCTAGATTTTAAATCATTGATTTCAATTATAAACTTATTCATAATGATTATGTGATTACAGAATATGATCTAAGATAAATATGTGGATATTGATTTTGTAATATAAGTTAATCACAAATTTGATCAGTTATATAATTAGTATATAAAGAACTTAATTACTAATTATTTTACTCTCATTTCTGGTTTGATACAACAATAGAATCATGAGAACAAGGTAACAAAATATGAATTCAAGTTATGTTAAAAAAAACTTAAACACTTTTACACTTATTTTGAAAGTGTTCAAATTGAACTCACACTGAGTTGTCTTTATTCAGGATAATTTTCATTACTTATATACATTATTTTTACAGACTAAAAATTATTACTTATTAATACTACTCTTTTTTTCTATACTATTATTTCGATAATCCTTTTCTTAATTATTTACTTAATATCTTTTGTATTGATCTTGATGATCGTTCCCAAACCGTAAATATCACAAACAACACAAAAAAAGTAATAGTTGAAAAAGCAAGAATTGATAGTTGTACTACGTTGGGCCGCAGTAATTTATGAGGGCAAGTTCGACTTTTACAACGTATACCGTTATGGTTTATATAGTTTATTAAGACAACTACAAACTCGGCTCGTTCAATTAATTTTAATCGTTCATTTTTAGAAATATAATGACCGATTTTCAAATTCCGGGTCGGCAATCTTCAATTTTCTGAGCTATCCCTGAAAGATAGTTGCACCAATTAAGATTGCTTCAAATGACAATGATCGACGCCGGCCTGATCCCTAGATCGGGTGTAACGTGAAAATCATACATTTTTAACAAAAAAACAGTTGATAACTATAACTCATCTGTGTTTTAATAATAGTAATAGTAAAAAAAAATTCTTTGGGAGGTTTTGGTATAGAATATTTTCTACTGTAATTTCTATTCTGACCCTAACGTGGGGTTATAGCACTTTAAAAATACTAACTCATATTTAATTGTTTTGAGCAATCTAATTGGCGCATATTTATCAATCTTTCATATTACTGGGTAACTAATTTTCCGTTAGCCAAATTCGAATGCTGTTCTCCTGAGTTGAGCTTTCCTAAAGCGTAAATACTAAAAAAAGTCTTCTTTGAACAGTACTGTATATGGAAACAGTCCTTTGGTGTAATGTTATATTTACATTTGCAAGCAGTGCTACAAAATCAGCTCATCGTTAATTCATATCGATATTATTATTTAATTATGTAACTTACCTGGACTCTGACAAGAAATTTGACAATATTTTTTTTTTACGAAAGTAATGTATTAATTCGATAAAATACCCTAATTATCATACCAAAAAATTTTCGTGAAAAAAGAACTCTAAATTTTGTCTATGAAACTACTTATATGCACTGCCAAAAGGTTTACTTGAAAAATTTTGGCATTATGATATCTTTTGAACTTTAATAACGATAACGTAATCCTAGGATCATCGAAATTAAAATTTTAAGTATGTCCAAAATTCGAATGTTGATCATCAATCCACAATTTTTGCAGGATCATGTATTGACATGGTAATGTCGTGCTTGAAGTTAGCATCTGCTTTAAGTTGTAACTTCACGCGCCTGAATAAACTGCCTAAAATCATTAACTAACACGTGCAAGGAAGATCTAATTTAGGGGAGTAATTTTAGTTGGCTCTACCGCTACTTATTTGTGCCGGTAATACAAACTCCTAAAAAGAAATTAGTCAATCAGTGAGTTCAAATTTCGATCGTTCCGGATCAGCTCAGCATGCATGTGTAAAAGAAGAAAAGGCGAAAATACTCAAAAACTAGTGTTTAAATCGACCTTGACGCTCTAATTAAAAATGTCAGAAACGAAATTTTATATATAATGGACATTAATCTATGGCTATAGCATTCGGTGTTAACAACCTAACCCTAAATTTGTGTTTTTACGCAGGTCGTTTATTTAAAAATCAAAATTCCTTTTTTGGGTTGTATTACCGGAACAAATAAGTAAATCCATTTTAGTTAATGTGCCTAAATTGGTAATGTCAACTTCGAGCACGATAGTAATACTAAGAAACGACTTTTTTAACAGTATATATTACATATAATAAACTATTTATAATAACAATCTTTTTAAGTCTAGGTATTTCAAATGTAATTTATATAAAAATTAAGGCTCTCGTTATTTAAAGAGTGTACAGTAAGTTCTTCAGATTTTAATTTACATACTGTATTGGTGAAAAGATTCAGCATAAAACATTATGAATGAATATAGAAACGTATTATTAATTGGTCGTACAGGTCAAGGCAAGTCTTCCTTAGCCAATATAATAGTAAATGATGAGAAAAAGTTCGAAGTAGGAGGAAACTTTGTTGAAGTTTTCAAAAGGGGTAAAGATCAAACTAGAAAGACTCAATCCAAAAAAATTAGGTTGAAGATAGATGTGGGTGGGGAAATAAAGGATGTAAATTACCGAATAATTGACACTGTGGGAATTGATGACACAACATTAAGTAAAAGGGAGATGTTAATTGAGATAGCTAAAGTATGTAAAAAAGTCAGGAAAGGAATAAATCGAATTTTATTTGTATGTGGAGAAAATTTAACTCCACAAGAAATTGATGCTTATAACATAATAAGAAGAGTTCTTTTTGACGAGAAAGTTGATAAAGACATTACTAAATATATTACAATTATTCGAACAAATTTTGACATCCAATCATTGATTGAAAATGAAAATAAAGCAATTGTCGAAATGATCCAATCGTGCAATAAAAGAGTTGTTCACATAAATAATCCATCAATAAATATGAAGGGAAAAGGAGAAATGATACAAGAACAAATTAATCTCAATAAGAAAATCTGTAAGTATGCTAGAAAGAGAGTAATAGATCATTTAGTGACTTGTGAAGATGTTTACAAGCCGGAGAGTTTGGATGCGATAAACGAAAGAATTGACCGCTTATTAAGTGAAAACAAGGAGTTGCAAGAACAACTAGATGAAATGCAAGAAAAATATAATACATTACAAGAACAATTAAATAGATTAAGTGATACAGATGAAAGATCAAATGAAATAAGTTTTACTCAAGATGTGTTTAATGAATTTGAAAGAAGAATGGAAAAAAATGAACTAAAAAAGACAATGGATGGAATAATGAAGAAAATAGATGAAATAAAAACATTGATCCACGAAAATGAGGAATCTATAGAGATAGGTTTTTTTGCAACCATTGGAAGAGGTTTAAATAAGTTATCTAAAACGGCGATAGAATTAGCAGGAGAGGCATTAGAAAATAATAAATGCCCGATTCTTTAAACAAGCGTCAAAAATAATTTTCTTTTTTATTCCAACTGCGCAACATCTTGTCTTATATTTTAGTTATTAGATGCTTAGAGAATGAATAGTTGTTTACAGATTATCCTTATCACTTTGGATGTTGCACTAATAAATGGGGTCGGGTATATTAAATAAAATGTTTAGGAGCCTCAAACCTCGTGTAACACTAAAATTAGCATATAACGATAATATCTAACCTCTACCTAATTTTTACGCAACCATGATAACCCTAAATTTTAATAAAAAAACTATCTTTTAGTAAATAATTAATATATATATCATAGAGATGGCTAATATTAACCAGCAATGCAAGTTATAATAATTCAAATTTAATATCTATATAATTATTATTATTATTATTCCTAATTTTTTTGTTTCGATTTAGTTAGAAACTTCAACACAATTTTTATCTTCAGCAATGTTATTAAGTGTCAATGATATGCGCTTAGTTTAATTAATGGAATTTGTGCTATTTATTTTATTATTTCACAAGGAAAGAGAACTTTTATAAATCTGGAGCAAACAAAGCTAATAAAGTATTTAATGAAACTTAGTATATTCTGATACGTATTGTTAACCCCTTGTAATTCGATGTTATACAGCAATTAACAGTAATGTAACTCTAATGCCAAGAATGCTAAAAATGCTAAAAGTGCTAACAATAATAATAGCGCTAATAGCACTAATAGAAGTAATAGCGCTACATTAGCGCTATGAAGTGCTAAAGGTTTTATTAAGCAACTGTAAAATCAATAGCTTTAAATAGTTTTAGAAATAGTTGGCAAAGCTAAATCGTACAAAAGTGAATGATCATAATAATTCGAAATGTATAAATAGTCCCACTTCTTGTTCTTGTAAAGTCAGTTTTATACTCAACAACCTAATAGAGTTCCAAACTCACAAAACTAATAAAGGAGTAATAGTGTCTTCATACATGAACAACTCGAACACTTTATTAAATAAACAATACAATTGACAATTCCCTAGAGAGTAATTGTCTTTATACACAGATACCGGGAATAGTTATAATGTCTTCATACACGAGTAACTTAGAGTATAAATCATAAACTTGTTATACATTTAGCCGTTTGCCTCTTTCGTAACTGCAAATCACCTTAATCCTCTTAAAGTGTAACTACAATAAACTATTTTTACTTGACGTAAATATCAATCGTCTAATACATCCGTCGCCAGGTTATGTACAATTCCCCGAAAGTTATTTACCCGACAGGGCCACTTACCCGTCATCAACCAGGATGACAAATATATACCTGCAGCTAATCAAATGCTAATCCTAACCCTATGTGATGTCGGGTAAGTGACCTGTCGGGTAAATAGCTTTCGGGGAATTGAGCGACAACCCCGTCGCCAAAGTAAAACCGTTGTACCGAACTGATAAGAGGTGTAACAGTATCTTTGCAAATCCATTTCAGAGTATAGTTAACATTTGAAGGTGAGTGTCCGTACTTGTACATTTTTAACCGACTCAACAATTTGGATGATATATATTTATTAAAATGGCAGTAAAATTTTTTGAAAAACTTTCGAATAATTATCTTGAACTTCTTGATGATAAAGAAGATTTTAATATAATTATTAACTAGTGCGACGGGTGGCGCAAAGCGCCACCCATATTTTTTAGCATAAATAATAGTTTGATAGTGAATTAGTTTTGAGATTTATTTTATTTTAGATAGATTATAGTTTATATAGTTTAATAGTTTGGAGGAAATATCTGCCTTGTGTTAAGATATTTAGATGATTTTATTAAATTTATTTATTTATTTGAATATTATTTTACATATGTTTATTTACTGTATATATATGATAAGAATTTGCTTCTTTGATGTTGGTATATTTGCTTAGGTTACAAAAATATTCTTTATGATTAAGTCAATTTTTCAAAAATGAATTTAATATATGTAGTAATAATGATATTTGGAGTTATTTTACAAAAATTGTATCAGATGAAAAATAAGTAAGGTCGTGCTTAATGTAATTGGTGTGATTAAAGTTTGAAAAAATACGTGGGAATTCAGTATTTTGATTGGTTAACAGTGACGATTAAAAATTTAGGTAAAATTGTTCAAATTTTTAGTAAGTAAAATTAGGGATGGAAAATTTTTGGTTTAATGAATTTGCGCATGATCGGTGCGGGACTTTTAGAGAAACTGCGATTTGCTGATGTCTACGTTTTGATAATTATAATATAAGTAGCTGCGCAACATTGTCGCGCAAAACCAGGAACGGGAGAAATCTATGCAGGCACTAGAGATGGGCACGCGCGGGATTTTAAATATGATCCCGAAATAAGATTATCTGGTCTGCATTACCATAATATCTGGCTAGCATAAATATAATATCTGACCTGCATTTAACATATTTATCTAATTCCTAATTAAAATTTATTTGCATACCATTTCATACATATGCTTATTTATATATATGATAAGAATTTACCTTCTTTACCTTTTGTATCTTTCGCTTACATTACAAAAATATTCTTATGATTAAGTCACTCTTTTAATAATAAATAGCATGCGTAGTAACAATAATATTTGGAATCATCTTACAAAAATTGGATCAGATGAAACCTTTAACCAAGGAAGTGCTTAATGTAATTACTGCTATTAAACCTTGCAAAAAAACACATGGAAATTCACTATTTTGATTGTCCAATGGCAATGACCAAAAATTTAGGCAAAATTACTCGAATTTTTATAAAGAAATCGTGACCACCCATTAAATGAAATTAATGAATCCCACGCGGGATTTTTGGAGAAACCGCAATTTGCCCATCTCTAGGTACTATATATTCCATGAAATTACATGTATTGTAAATTTGTAAAATGTAATTTTCAACCCTAAGTGAAATATGTTCCTGGGTTAATCTTACCATTACACAGACTCAAACCGTAAACAAATGCGGACCAAAATTTTGTTGATTACAGCTGTTAGTCAATCAAAATTGAGGTTCAACCTAGATTTAATGAATCCCGCACAGGATTTTTCAAAAAACTGTGATTTGCTCATCTCTAGCAGGCACCATTTCAGTCACAGGAAACAATATTCTTCATTGCAATTTATTCTTGAAAATGATTCTTTATAAAAGAAGTTGATAGTACTTGCAATCTGAATATTGGTTTAAATTTCAGTAACTGAGTCTAAAAACCTAATGAAGTCAATGTCTGACTGCTTCATAGGCAGAAGTTTATCTGATTGGCTAATAAATTCAAGTTGATTTTACATTATATATAGTTTAGAATACTTCTTAAAAAAATGAAACTAATTATAATAAAATAAAAAGAAAACTATTGTGAGGTCCAAAAACATAACTGATATTACATAACATAGATCTTGAATATCAGAAATGTCAGGTATATCAGATATATCAAATATATCTGTTATAGCACATAAGTGTTGTATCTTAAATAGATGTGATATACATGATAAATTTGACAAAATTCAATATATTAAACATGTTTAATATATTAGATAAATTCATGATATAAATAAACAAGACAGTTTATTAGATGAGATCAATTTGATTCAGTGGTTTACATTATCTTCTCATCTCTTCTTTCTTTTCTCCTTCATTATAATAAAAAAAATTTTTGTAAATATCATAAGAATTATAATTATTTTAAAAAAAATTTATATTAAACAGAACATTTCAGAAATTTTTTTAAAAAATTTTGAAAATATTACTATAAAACCTTCTGAAAACTCTAACCACTCTTCCTCTTTTAAAGTAGAAATGTAATGTAAACTATCAAATCAAATTGGTCTCACCTTATAAATAAAGGACTTTCTGTTTAAAGAAAAAGTAACAAGTGATATTTCTAAGTAAATATATTTATTTAAATAAAACTAAAGTATCAAACTCATATCAAAAGTAAACTATAATCCAATCTAAACTAAAAACAATTATTAAAATCATTATATCCAACTATCATTCATTTGTAAATTACTAAACTATATTTTGATCATTTGTTATCCCTTAGATTGTAGGCCAACACAAGCAAATTTGTCTGCGTTTTTGCATTTTTTTAGCTTTGATCTATTTTTTTAAATTGTTAAAATATATAAATAAAATTTGATATAATAATATTTGAAAATAAGAATTACTTTTTTGCAGTAT